TTTCCGCTCTAGTTCAAGCAGGTGGTCGTAGAGTTGGCACAACTCGCGCTTCGCCACAAGAAGGCGGTACTTGAGCTGGACTATCGCGCTGGCGAGTCTCACGGGCATGACAAACCAGCTCCACTTTGTCCCGACGCTGCGTTCGTGCCACGTTTGAAAGGCATGGGCCAACGTGTGGACTCGGCGCTTGACCAGTGTTAGAAGCAGGGTCAGCGCACCCATCACGTGGCTCTTACGGCGCACGAGGAGCCCTAGCTCGGCCTTGGACCTCTTTCGGCTTGCAAGCAGAGGAATGCCCCGCTGTCGGTGAGTTGCGATGCGGTGCCAGGCAAGAAGCGTGGCTCGCTGGCAGAAAAACTTCGCTGCTTGTGAATGTCTCGCTAGGTTTATACTGACCACCACCTTTGCTCGACACGCTTGCTGGCGCTCGCAATAGCGTCTCCAACGGTGCAAGCAGTGGCCGACATGTTCTCGCCGCATTGCCTTGCTCGACTGGACAAATGCACACCATCTACCGACAGAGGTCTCTGTGAAAAGTCAAGACGAAGGCGGCGTGTCTGACCTGGTCCACGCGGCGGTCTCTTGGCTTCGCTCGTCGTGAAAATGATGCAGCCACGTGAGTGCGCTCTTCCATCCATCGGCGGCCAGTCGATGCGACTGTCGTAGCCACTGGTTAAAATGGCGTTGAATCGATGCTCGTGACAGCATCTTTAACACCATCGAGAGTCGTCGACAACGTTGTTTGACTTGCAGATGCTTCATCGCGTCGACGTGGTTGGCATTCCGTACACGTTGACATTGGTGGATGACGGTCTTCCAACGGTGCCACTGCACCTTGCATGCTAGCCGCATCAGGATTTCCTCGCCGCGCTGGCGGGAGCGTCGGCGCTTCTCAGTCACAGTTCGCCATGCCGACAAGCACACGTGGGTTGAAAGAGTCCCGACCGATCGAGCGAGGCTGTGGCGTTGGTGCAATTCAATCCTCCGCAGCTGATGGAGTCGGCGGCGCAGGACTGTTGTACTCCACGTCGTGTAAGCCAGGTGTAATCGGTTCCTGTCGTGGTGGGAGGTTTGCGCGAGGACCTTCCAAGCATGCCACGTCCGAAGACGGTGTGCGCGTTGGTAATCAGCACGTACGGCCGCCACTTTTGTCTCTCGAAGGGCTTGTTGCTGCTGCCATTGGCTCGACCATCGCGTGAATGCTGCGCGCACCAACTCTTGCTCAAGACGCCTCTGCGTGTGTGCTTGTACGACCTGCGTTTTCCTCCACCGAAACAAACACCACTTGCGCCAACCCTCCACGACTTGGCAGCGTCGGTGGAAGGCCAGGCGGTCTTGAACTCGTCGTTCTCGGTGATTGAGCGCCGCAACTTGCCTGCGCCACGTCTGGAACAACCGACCGACGTAGTGCCGCCAGCTCATGTCATAGCATCGGCAGGCTGTCCGAAGGAGATGTCTTGTCCATGCAGTGCGCCACCTCGTCACGTCTTTCTTGTGCGCATGGGCGGCGGGAGCGTATCTGCGCAAAGTCCATTGGATGTGTTGGGTATACCGAGACGCAGCGAGATAAAAGCGCCATGCGGTGAGCCCAGAGGTTAGCTTTCGCGTCGCAGCTCGTCGGAGCACACGACCGAGTGTCTACGATAGCTTGAGTGTCTTGGACGAGTCAACCTGCGTGTTCGGACCTGGGCTCGGACTCGGTTGAAACGTGTGGCTGTGCGCCATTTTGCCCAAACACGACGCAACCACCGCCACGTGGATGTGCCATTCAATTGTGCGAGGGCCATAAGCATGGCATGGATGCTAACCAGCAGTTAGTCCATGTCACTGCAGCAGTTGAGCTTACGCTTTCCATCGTGTGAGGGCTTGCACTGTGCGTCGTCGAGCTAGTTGGCCCAAGAAGTGGCGCAAAATGAGCCGACGACGTTGGCGCAGCTGCACGTAGAGTCGCCAAGTGATGATAGCATGCCTTGAAGTTCTAGACACGACCAGGATGCGTCAACAATGCACAAGAAGCCGTCACGAGCTGCGGCATATCGCTCACAGCTCTGGGAGTCCAATAGCAAGACCGACCTCGCTTGTACAAATTGATACACTTCCGACAAAGCCTTCCATACACACCACGACTGATGGAGAGCTAGTGATCGCCGCCTGTGGAGCAGTCGATTCAGCATACTCAACTGGCGCAATCGGCGGCGCCAGTGCTCCATAGCAAGTCGACATATTCGACGATGAAGTCGGCTTTCCAGACCGAGTACAGCCATCCGAGCACGGTGGCGACTGTCAATAACGCGTCGCCAGGTTCTCCAAGCTCGTTCAAGCCGCAAGTTCTGCCAGCGTTGCCACTGAATGGCCATGGCACGACCTCTGGCCATTTCGTCGGTCCAGCGATGCCACCATCGTCGAGTCTAGATCACGTGCATGACTTGAGATGTTGCGGTCATTCGATCACGGCGCCAGCACGTACCCGAGAATGTACGATGCGGCGTTCCAAGTTGTCATGGCAGCGTTGGTTGATGACTGCGTGCCATCGAAGCAGGTCGAACGCACGACGAACTCGGTGTCTTGATTTGGCAGCAAGAATACCTTCAACACGACCAACGGCATTCGTGATGGTATCGATCGCAGCCTGGCGACGGTGTCGGCGATCCCTTACCACACGTTTCCACTCACCGACCACCTTGACGAGCTGCCGTAGACACCGTTTTGACGTGGCGATTGCAACGACCATGCTAGCAGTGCCTTTCGATTCAGTCCACAATGTCTTCCATTGCCCAAACACGACCAGCACTGCTCGAACTTGTTGGAGCAAGGTGCAGCTGGTGTCGTAGCAGCTCGTAACCTGTGCTTCCATCAATGCATGCGTTTCTGCGATGTGGGCAGCTGCTTGGAATTCGTAGTGCGACTGCACGCGCGCTTCTAGCGTAAGCGCGCGCCATCGTGACAGCGCAGTCCGCAGTTGTGCCGCGGTAAGTTGGTCTTGTTGACGAGTCCAGACGCGGTGAATGGAGGTTGCTGCTTTGATCGCATGGGCGTTCGCATAGCCATTGAGTGCTTCTTGTACGAGGGCACTGCCACGTGGACATGTCCATAGCGACAGCCCCGTCAATGTGTTGCAGACATAGTACGAGCTTGCATCGCGACTCCAGTGCACCTGCCACAAACTCGAGCTGTTCACAACCTGGTACCAGTGATGCCACCACTGTCGAATGCATCGAGTTTGCATCGCTTTCGCCAGGGCCATGAGGGCGGCTTGCTTTTGGGAGGCATGAACAAGAGCTTGAGTCGACTGTTGCCATGCCACCCAAGTCGACTTTAACTGAACCATCGAGTACCATGTATTTAGCCACAATACAGCACGTCGACGGCGCCACCGCAAAAACGCCGGGCGCACAAAACCTTCTCGGATTCGCACTCGATGAACTCGGTGCAACGCAAAGCGAGTGGCCTTTCGACAGTGGACAAATACCTTCCATGTCGAGATGGCATGTCGTCTGGATGCGCGTTCCTGTCGTTTGTCGTTGTGATCCAAAAAACACGCAATCTGCAGTTGGTATCGACAGGTCATGGAAAACAGTTTCCACTTTGCCACTGCAGCGTGAAGGGATGTCCTAGCTCGGTGCTGAAGGAGGCGCCGCCACCACCGCCCAAATTCGTCTGTACGGGACCTTTGCGATGCATGGCGATGGGTGACCGCCCTCCAGTTTGTCCAACACATCCGTTGCCGCCTGTGCGCTGAGCGACGCAGCAAAGCGCCAAGGACATGCGCGACCATACTTCGGTAGCTATGCGCTGTCTTGTCCACAATTCGAGCAACGCTTGTTTGGACATACCACGCATGAAAACCCCGGAACGTTCTAGTGCGGCAACAACGGCCAAAGTGCTTCAAACAGCGCGTCAGCACCGCAGCGTGGTGGCAAGAGGCTCGCCAGATCTTCCAGGCCGGTCGAAGGTGATTCAGCTTTGTGCATAAGTGGGAAAGATGGTGCACTGTTGCCGCAACATGTTTTTTCTGTTGAGTGTGTCGATGCCAAACCTGAAACGATGCTGCAGTTTGCTTGCGGCGGTGGCGCTGGAGCCACTGCCTTAACAGCGTGTAGGCTAGGGCGAGGCGCCGTTGACTGCTTTCATGGTGCAGCGCAGCGTCACGAAGCGATGAATCACGTGACTCGTTCGTTTTGCAACGCCACTGCCGAAAGCCCTGCTGTAAAATGTCCCATGTTTGCCTGCGGTGTTGAGCAGCTTGGGCAAGTCTCGCCAGTGCCTTGACTCGACGCTACAACCAACAATGTTAGCAAAGCTGACCTCGCCGCCGTGCAAGGACAGAGCTCCAGCTTCCTCACATACTTGTTGGGTGGCTCGGCGGTCCTCGAAGGTTTGAAGACGCCACGTAGCAAACGATCGCGCGCAGTGTCGCTGCCACAGATGCCACAGAGTTACGTAAAGGGCCTTCATCATGGCGGCCATGTTGGCACTTTTGAGGCTAGTGTTCACAGCATGCACTTGATGGAACCAATACGCCTTGCGCAAGGTGACGAGTGCCTTTGCAAGGATATGGCGCCGAAGGACGTGACCAAGGCGCTTTGTTGCAGCATTTTGCAGTTGCCGCAAGGCAACCAATTTCCGCCACAACGCTACGGCTCTTGCAGTCAACCGTTGTTTGCGGCGACTGTCCCCAGACATAAGTAGAGTGTGGATTGCCCAGTGGGCAACCCACGTTGTCCACGCGGCGGAGAGAGACTTGGTAGCTGTACGTCGCATCAACGTGTGGAGACTGTTGCTTCTAGCTCGTTTGGTGTCGAAGTGGGCAAAGATCACCATGTAAACTGTTCGAGTAGTCCGCTTCCAAGACTTCCACACCACACAATTCAGTGTCGCTAAACGGGCACTGTGTTGGTACCATGTCCACCATGCACGTTGTACCTGTGCCTTGCGCCTACCAATGCACACGGATACACTCAGTGGCGGTAAATGCAATGCATGGACAATCCCACCGCAAGCGAAGCACGCCACGCAAGACTACCGAGCACGATCGCCGGTGAAACGCGCTCCATCGCCACTGCATCCATCTAGAACGGAGTTGTCGGGCTTGTCGATGCTTCCAAATCCGTCGGAATTGAGCTCGAACGTCCTTCGCATCGTCGACTGTCTGGCGCCACACTTTCAAAATCGACAGAACGACATGGCGCTGCCGTTCTTTGGCCCATGACATGGTCACCGTTCGTAGGTGCTGCGACGTCTCCACACAACGGGCAAAATCTGTCCAGACCTTCCATGCGCACAGGATATGTCGACGTCGATGGACTTGTACGAGTGTTGCCAGGCATAGAAGTCGACGAGAGCGCCATGTACTGACGTCATTCCAAATTTGAAATGCCTACAGATAGAAGCGTAGGCATGGCATCACGTCATCCTGGCATTACCCTACCTGACGACATTGCGCTCGTTGGTGCGACTTGCCGACCGCTCGGAGGGTCGCCAACAAATACCCCGCCATTGCAACTTTGACCACATCCACAGATGCACGTTTGATGTCGTGCTGCACTCGAGCCTCGTCACTTGGCCAGATTGGCATCGGTTCCAGCTGCACCATGGAGCCCAAGTCAGCAGGGTCCCCAGGTTCATCGATGTGTAAGCTGTGCTTGCCATTGACTTCGATGTCGTACAGAATATCATCGACGTTGCGATCTCGGTCGAGAAACGTCGGCATGGCGATTATCGTATGAGGTTGGTTGGCCGACTGGCCAAGGCGAGCCACGGCAAATTCAGCCGCACGAGCATGGGCTGACTTGGGCGCCACCGGCAGTAGGTAGATGCTTTCGTTGAGCAGTCGAAGGAATGCATTCTGCTCGGCTTCTTCCGGGTATTTCCGCCACGCCAAAAAAACGAGCGCCTCGACAAACTGCGTCACATCCAGTCGACGACACGAATGGCCACGAGCTAAACACGTTAATGCGGTCAATGCGCGATACCGATTGAATGCATTGGACAGCGTACCTTGCGCGTACGCCAAGTCGACATCTACCAACCCAAACCATGATGTCAAGAGGTTGGGTGCGTCCATCGTGAGCCGTCGGAAATTCGAGTTGGACACCCGGTGGGTCGCAACATCTGCATACACATGAAAAACATGCTTGACAATGACCTCATCGTCTTCAGAAAATGCCGCGGGCATTGGCATGTCGACACCACTTCCACCGACCACCCCAGCGGTGTCGAAGAAAACAACAACGCGTAGAATCGAAGCTTATACCTCGAAACGTTCGCCCAAGAAGTGAGGATCTCAATTCGTCCCTCAGTGCATGCGACAAAGGAGCGCCCCGACAACAACATCACCAACAGAACGGCCATCCCATCGCCCCCCAAATGCTGGGATGGCTTGAACGAGGTGGATGCTCCAAATGGGTAAAAGATCGTCAGCTGTGAGATTCGAACTCACGCGGGTTGCCCCATTAACTTAGCAGGCTAACGCCTTAACCACTCGGCCAAGCTGACTTTATATTTAGTCTAACATTTTAACATACCAATCATAATAATTTGTCGGCGAAACTGTGGCCGGTTACTCGTCACCGAGGCGACCAATGCTTCCTGCCGACGTCGATCCACGGCTTCAAAAGTATTGCGTCGTGGATGGATGTCGCCTTCATTTGAAAATCCATCGCGTTGCCATGTCCGACGAGCTCCTGGACGTCGCCATGAATGCTGTGCGAAGGAATACGAACATCTACTCGCTTACTTTGAGCCACTTGGGTGAGTGACCTTCCACTTGCCTGTGTCGTGATTAGACTTACCTAAACGATGGTTGTGTGCAGGGTGTGGCCCCAAGATGGCTGTCGTCGTCGCAGACATGCTCGAGCACGCATCGAGCTTGACATCGTGTGACCTGAGCGGCAACGCTATCGGGTCGCACGGATCCAAGTGCTTGTCCATGTCGTTGCATGCCAACACAACACTTCGACGCATGTCGCTTCGTCAGTGCAGCCTCGGCACGGACGGCATTGTCGACTGGGTGTCTTTCGTTCAGCGGGGTCGCAACACCGTCCTCGACACTCTCGAGTGCGTTTGGAAATAGACGACTGGATTACCCATGTACAATGATCGTTGTAGCTTGTCTTGCAATCGGATAGACGACGAAGGGGCGGCGCTCTTGGCCTCTGCACTGCAGCAGCTCAAGTTTCATCCTTCACCAACACGACATTGGCACTTCAACCTTGTTGGCAACGCAATCACGGACGCAGGGGTCGCGCAGTTGGCCGTTGCGATGGAAAAGTGCACGATGGTGACAACGATGAATGTTGCTACTTCCAAGGCGTACGAAATTGAGCGACCAGAGCGAATCGTGTTTATTGAGCACTGCGCCCGCCGCAATGTTCGTCGTATTGGCCATCACGGTATGCTTCCTTCCCACGTCACGAAACGAAACTCACGGACGGAGGCGTGGCATGACCTGTGTAGTGGTCGAGGAATCAATTCGCGCCATGTCGCAATCCGAGCGCAGTGCCGAAGTCACTCGCCTGGAACAGGTTCAGCTACGTGAAGTCGATTGCGTCAGTCTCGGCCATGCCCTGCGTCGAACCCACGCGACCACCCACCTCATCCTTCGGAATAATGCACTCACGTTGGCCGGGCTCCGCCTCCTAGCTCCAAGTTTGTCCTTATCCAAGTCCCTCTTCAGCTTAACAATTGTGGACAATAACGTCGGTGGCGACGGCTTCTTTGCTCTCCTCATGGCGCTTCGAAACAACGCGGCACCCCTGCCGCTTCGTGAGCTGCATATCTTCAACTCGACAGCGACACACCCCTTGTGGCCGAGGCGTCTCAATGCTCACATCTATCATACATTTGTCCAGGTTAGTGTACATGACTTGTACACGTGAATGACGTTCGGCTAGGGAAGTACACGGCTGACTGCATTAACCCTGGCGAACTGCGGCCTCCACGACGCCGACGTCGCGGCTCTCGTGGCTGGGATTGCATGGGGCTGCACAGTTGAGCGCCTGAACCTCGCTCGCAACCACATGACAGACCACGTACTACCAGTGTTCCAAGTGCTATTACAACGGTGCATGGCATTACAAAGTCTCGATGTGGTGCGTGTGGAAGTCGCAATCACATCGTTCCTGAGCCTGTCGAATCTTTACCAGGGCGGGAATCAATGCACGTTAAGTGGGGCGGTCGATCTAGTTCAAGCAACGGTGGTCCATCCGCGACTCGATACGCTTCGATTGGGTCGGTTTCCGTGCTTGGACGACTCAATTTTTCGCATTCAAGGTCTCGTACAAATGACCGACCGTCTACGGGTCCTGGAAATGAGTGGACGACACGAGCATTCCAAGTACGCATTGATCATGACGGCAATTCGCGCCCGCCTGGCGTCGAACAACCGTCAGTCCCTTAAGCATCCCACGCCCCCCATTGTGTTTCTTTCAGTCACAGGTGGTCGAGATGCCACAACTACTACCAACATCCATGAGCACCACCACGTTCGGTGGTGCCGCTTGCAATACGTCGGACGTCAAGTCGCACGGGATACGATTACATGGCAGCTGAGGCCCGCTACGATCTTGTCCATGGCGGAACGACTGTGCATGCAGCGCCACGACGCCAACGCGACGCTGGTCTTGGAAGGCATTGCCATGACTGCCCACGACTGGAACGTGTCGTTCGTGTGGGACCAAGCGGTTGAGGCACTGGCCATGCACCTCTGCGACATCAACGTCCTCCTCGTGTACGAATGGCTGTGGATGACTCGAGAGGACGTTCGGTTTTGAATAAAATGTATCGATCCACGAGCCATGACGGGAAGTGTCATGAATTGCAACCACCAAAACTGTCGGCGGCGCTCCGTATGAACCTTCACACGGCAATGCAGTGCACTTTGTACTTGCACCTTTGGACGTTGTCACGGCAGCGGGCACCATCGCCTTGGGTTGGTGAACCTGGCGACGCATTGCGGCATGTGCCTCACTGCAGCAACACTCTGACCTGTTGCATGAGGTGCTACTGCCTGTGAGTGTCCACCCTCGTCATGGACTCCCCTGTGTCCTGTCAAGTGCACACAGCAATTCAATACAACATTTCGACGTGTGCCATCGGCTACATTGCTCCACCCGCGACAACAATTCAGGCCGGGCCGGAACCGTGGATTGCCTGACACGCATCAACTTGGATTTACTGGCGAAGATGATGTGGTTTCCACTCTGGGAGCCTTGCGTGTTCTGGCAGTGCCGTCCCTGTCGTGCCAATCAGAAGGTGCGGACTGCGCCAACGTGCTGAGCACCCTCCACGAAAACTTCTTCCTCACGTGTCGGTCGATCGAAGACCGTGACCGTTCTACTCTGGACGGTAGCAATGCGCCGGCGGAACTCGGCGCGTGGCGGTGCTTTTGGTACAGTTTGCTGCCAGTGGGTTTGTCCTAGGCGCGTTAAACTTCCTGGTGCGTCTTCGAACACCAATGTTGTCGCCTTTTATCTCTATTGTGTCATGGCCATGCAGTCTTCTCGTGGGTGGCCTCTCCGACACCTTTCGTTGCTGTTGGTTCTTTCTTGCGATGGGATGGTTAGCTTATGGAGCAGCGTGTGTGGTACTATTTGGTGTGGACGAATGGCACTGGGCAAATGGAATTGCCGTCGTTGCAACGATCGTGGCATTTGTCGGGACAACTGCAGTGACCATGACTTGCGAGGTGTGGGCTGTTCAACTTGCACACTACCAATCGTTTATCCAACGAGGTCGAGTCCAAGCCAGTGCATTTGCAGTACGGTTCGCGTTCACTGCCGTCGCAGCCCAAGTTTTGGGATGGCTGTCCCCGATGCCACCATCATCACTGGTTGTGGGCTCACAAATTCCGTAAGCCCAGGCTAGTGTCGTGGTCATTTCTATTGCGTGTGGGCTGGCTACCGTTGCCGTCTTGCAACTAAGCGGTCGGCGAAAGCTCACATCAAACTCCGAGTCACCGTTGTCGTCGCTGTCATTCCGTCAATGCTTCTTCCACAGTCCGCTCACGTGGAGGTTGACGGCGTTCGTCTTCTGCCACACCATGACTTGGCCCCTTCCACACCCCCCCTCTTTGACGCGATCCGCCCCAGCCATACATCCTACGTGAAGCCACTGTCGACAACCTAAGTCAATGTCTGGTTGTGCTCCTCATCGGCCTCTACGCCCGACAAACGTCGTGGAGATGGATGGAAGCTATCGCTACAGCATGGCTAGTTGCAATCGCCACCGTTTACAATTCGCTTGCAGGGTCTCGTCCGTTCTTATGGACAGCGTTGTTGTCGCCTGCAATGGTGTTTCGTTAGGGGAGCCCGATATCTTGCGCGGGGTTTTGGCCGCAGAAATGGCAGACACTGGAACCAAAGGTAACACGGTGGCCGTGTTGGATGCGTCGGCGGCCTTGAGTGTCCCGTTCGGTGTCGCGCTTCAATGTGCCATGGCCTCTGCAGCTGCTTCCATCCGCCGCGACAACCATTGCCAGTCTTCGCTGTCCCTCAAGTTCTTGGTCTGCGGGATTCCCCCGTGTGATTTCGCTGGCATTCCTCGTTCTCCTCCCGACTCTGAAGCAGCACGTGCACGTCCTCAAGCATCAAGTCTATTGCGGCACTGGCGACGTTGCAATTGCTGTCGTCGCGACGCTCGTTTGTGTATTCAACGTCGTGCTAATTGCCGTGCCCTCCTAATCCTGGCCCTAGAGTTTGCATCCTGCCGTCCATGTTCCCCCCTATGCTTCATGGAAGCGCCTTGTCCGGTGCACCGCTATTAGTTGTCAAGGCGAAGTAGCCGACAATGCACTTAACGATGGTCTACCTATCGCTTGACTTGATCTCGTTGGAGGAACGGTTGGTGGTGCTGGATGCCGCCTGCTAACGTGTCGTAGTCGAGCATGTGTTGGTAGTACGCGGCATCGACAGTGTGGCTGTCGTCGGTCAGCAGTCTACTACGGGCGAGGAGTTCGTCGTCGGCGGCAATGTCCGGCACGTCCAAGTGGTGTGTTGCAAAGGTATGTCGCGCACTCCAAAAGAATACGTAGACCGTCACCCATTCAGGATAAACAAAGGTCGCCAGCGCCAGGCCAAGCCGTACAATTTGCTCGATGGCGCCGTCGTTGTCGTCGTAGAAGATTTTGGCACACGGTTCGTCGCCTACCACGGTCGTGAAAGTGCCTGGCTTTGACCCTGGAGGAGTTCGTACCAACGACATACGTTATGTACAGGTCGTAGGACAATTGCAGGACCGAGCTGATCATGTTTGTCTACGGAAGATATCAACGTGTGATGACGTGGGTTGCAAATGAATGGCGACAACGCGAGGTACATACCACAACGAGCCACCACAATTGGTGGTACGTGTGGTCGAGTTCGACGTGATGTGAGATGAGTGTTTGGCGCAAATGCCTCTACAATTTACGCCTCAACGCCTCGAACATGCGAGCGTTGCAACACCTGCATGGTCGAAGCAAGCTTGATTTCCTTGAGGACAATGCCGCCGGCCGCCGCAAAGCTCACTGCCCACTCGACGCTGTCAGCATGTGGAGACGAATATGCACACGACAGTACCGGCCAATGTGGACGACGCCAGCGACATGACTAACCAAGACGCGTGATGACAGTCGACGTATGGGTCATTCAGCATGATGATGACGTCGACAGTCATGAGGACGGCCACGGCGACGAGCAGCGGCACGAGCAGACCGAACACGAGCGACTTCTTGCTCGAGAATTCGCATGCCATCTGCCCATAGAGCCAACACGAGATGGACACTTGAATCCCTCGACAGTACTTGGCAGCGATCATCAACTTGGGTTCGTCGACCCATGCACACCGCAGCAGGACGCACGTCATTTCGAGTGCCGCCAGCACAATGAGGGCCATGTGTGGTCGGTACTGCGACAAGTTGAGGCAGGCAGGAAGCATGGTATAGATTGCATAAAGGCAAAAGACGACCGTGCCGAGAGATAGAGTGCCCAGCACGACGCCGCGGAGGCACATCCATGTGTAGCTCGCGTCGCTGGTGCAGTACGGCAGCATCGCTGTCGCTGTCGGTCCAATTTTCACTTTTTGCAGTTGCAAGGTCAATTTTATTTCCAAATCATTTTCCTCCTACACTGAACTACATATTAAATGAACAAATTTTCCGACGAATCATTCGATCGTGTCCTTTCGGAATATTTCGAGATCTTCCTCGCCAAGCAACCGCCAACGACGCCGAACCCAGAGCATCAAGTACACACTTAGCAACGCCACCAAAGTACACGCCTGATGTACCTCCAGTGACGCGCAACGCACTCATCCTTGTGTTGGCTGCAGTAAACTTCAAGAATTACAACTTGAGATGTGACCGGACAACGTTGATGGCGCACGTCTAAAGTGGCTTCATTGATTTGAGCAACGCAATACGCAAAGAATCCCTGCTACCACAATAACAAAGACTTGCGAACACAGTGCTTGAGAAAGCAATGAGCAGAGTTCCTGGACCAAGCCACTTTTGGCGCCGACGACGCACTCAAGCTGTTCCCACCTTTTTTGCCGGTGTCCTCGGGGTGTGCCATACACTAAACTTTGAAAGGCAAAATAGTGTGGATAGTGTCCAATCAGGTTTCATCTACGTTTAACACTATTTCACGTGATATAAACATTATCCGGACATGACTTTCGTTCACTTGGCCAACAGGCATGGAAGTTGGAGGCAATGTGGCGGTGGAGGAGGCGGCGACGACCCGTGTGATTTTGCACCTAGATTTGGATTGCTTCTATGCACAAGTAGAGCACGAGCGTCTTGGCATTCCACACTCAGAGCCTCTTGCGGTACAGCAGTGGGGAAGCTTGCTCGCTGTGAATTACGCAGCGCGTCCATTTGGTGTCGCGCGGAGTACGTCGCTGCGATCGCTGCACGTGGCGCTCATGGTTTCTGATGGGAATAGGTGAGAACATTGGTGACGCGCGCAAGAAGTGTCCGTCGATCCACCTGGTATGCATCTGCTTCGGCTCCAGAGTTCTCAAACTTGGTTGGTCCAGCCTCATGTGGAGACCCTTGGAGAAGGCTCCGAAGTGGCGCCTAACCGGACGAAACAAAAAGCTATTCTAAGGAGGTATCGCGCAGCGAGCCGGCAAGTCTTCCAAGTGATTGCATTGCACGCACCAGTCTACGAGAAGGCCAGCATCGATGAAGTGTACATGGACGTAACCCTACAGTGCCTCGATCGCCTCGAGTCGGTTCGTGGCTAGCCGTCCGCCCGTGGTTTTTTCTCAACGGTGATGTGGACTTGTGTAGGGCGTGTCGGATGGTTTGTCGATCGGGGCTACCCACGTGTTTGGCGTCGAGGACGGGCCATTTCCGTCAACGAGGCAGGAGAAGTTGCTTTGCATCGGGGCAGAAATTGCTCAAGAAATTCGAGACGACATCCAACACACGCTGCACTTTACCACGTCGGTGGGCATTGCGACCAACAAATTGCTGGCGAAACTGGTAAACGTGAGCTTGTCGTGCCTCCATCGCCCTCATGCATCACCTCCAGGCATCACCACAACACAAACCAGACGGCCAAACGGTTCGTGCGCGGAATCGATTGCACACAAATGCGACGAATTGTCTTGTTCATGATAGATGATCCCGCCGCGGTCTGTCCACTCGTTTATGCATTCGTTTCGGGTCGATAAAATCCGAGGTTTGGGCGGCAAACTCGGCAAGCGCCTGCTTGCCATGGCAACGCCCGCTTCTCAGCACACAGAAGAGGTTCGTACGACCAAAACTACCCATGCCCCCGTTCCTTCCATTACGACGGTCCACTCCATCGAGTCCGACAAGTAGGTAGCGCCCAAGGATGAAGGCAGCAGCAAGCCCAAGGTCACGGCTGGCGCGATCATCGACGAATACGGGCTGCCGGGGCTACAAAAGGCGTTTGGTGTAGACACTGGGCGGCACATCTTCACGTTGTGCATGGGCAACGATGGAAATGATCCGGTGAACATGAAGAAGGTATTGCTGGCGCAGCTCAACTCGGTCAAGAGTTTTGAGCAGCGCACGGGGTACTTAACGAGTGAGTCCATGTTCCACTACTGGCTACGCATTCTGTGCGAGGAGATGGTGTGGCGCTTTGACGAAGAGCAGGAAGAGAACCAGCGCATCCCGACGCAGTTTACGCTCTCGTGTGACCGCAGCGACCGCCAGAAGAAACTAACTCGCCACTTTGCCGTCCCGACCACAGTCGATGCTACCACGTTTTACGCTGCTGCATCCAGTCAAATCACCGACGTCTCGACTATCTTGCCCTGTGCGCACGTCGTCCTGTCCGCCAAAGACTTTGTGTCCACTGTGAACCCGTCCGTCAAAATTACTCATTTTTTCAAAGAAACCAACACGCTGATGAAGAACCGCGTTGGCCCCGTTGGCCAAGTTGATGATGGAGCAGAGCATGGCGGTGGTGGCAATGCCATCCCATCTGTGCCGCTCAAGCCTTCACGAGCGAAACTTGGCAAGGCACCAGCCGCTTTGTCCATTATGCAATTCTTCGCGAAAGAGCCGACGCCAGACGCGGCGTCGAATCAAGGCAGTGTGCATGGACATAACGGGTTCTTTTGCACAGAGTGCAACAAATTCGTGCAAACGACTGCTCGAGAGCACGCAGACCATCACCTAGCGCTGGCACTGAGCTCGCAATGGAACGACGACGACGAACGGCCCGTGAAAAAGCGATCGAAGCAAGGGCCAATGGATTTTTTTCTAAGAAAAGTATGATGCGGGATGGGTGTGCCATGTCGACCCGAGTACGCACAAGTGAACAAAAGTTTGACGAAGGCACGTGGTGGCAAGGGGCATGACCACGACTGTACATCCACCGCGAGAAGGTCGCCATGTGCAGAGTAATGGATCGATAGCTCTGAGATAACAGTCGACATTCGCCAAAGCCATTGAGTGCCGTTTGACGATTGCTGCAAGCAGCCTTGAGATACGTTAGGGTAGTAAATGGTGATGCCGCTATGACAACTGCAAAACCTCAGCGAAGGGAGGCAACTGCTGCGCAGTCACGACCTGCGTGAGTTATCCGAAGCCTCCCACGGCGATGCTCGACTACTATCTCAACGACGAGTTCATGGTCGCTGCTTCTACTACACACAATATCGCGTTTTCACCGCCACGTCGTGCCTCGCTGCAGTTCGTTTAGCGTCGCATCGGTGTCGCACTGAGTGAACAGGAAGACGAACAACTGCATGCGCAAACCAACACCTGAGACGTCTATGCGCATGAAAATGTCCAGTCAGGCTTTATACCGCCGAGGATAGCTAACCAGGCGCATACTGCAGCTGCTGGGGTCCATGGACGGGCCAGGGGGCTTCCTTTAGGTAGCTGTACCTTGACCGCCAGCGAGATCATGGGGTTGTCACTCGTGGCCGAGGTTGGAACCTGGCGGACGGATTATATTATACAGGAAAATCCAGTTTCACAGGTTCTGCTATTTCATCGTCGCCTTCGCACGACATGAAGATCCGCGTCAAGCGCATCCACGGAGTGGCAACGTGGTCCTGGGGTGTCAAGAACGAGGGGTGCTGCATCATCTGCCAGAACCCATTCGAAGCATGTTGCCCTGAATGTACTGTTCCCGGAGACGGCTGTCCTCCAGGTAGGTTGCAATGCCTTCTCACTTCTTGGAGTGAATGGGTCGAACAAATAGTGTTTGGGCGATGCGAGCACGCTCTACACATGCATTGCTTGGTCAAGTGGCTCGAGTCGCTTAAAGATGCACAACACAAATGTCCGCTGTGCCGGGAAGAGTGGAAGTTTCGCGAAGCATAATGGTATGGTGGTATTCTTAGCGGTCTCGGGGACTATGGTTTCGAAAAGCGGTCCACCTTGGTCGTGCGCAAGTGATACAATTTGCGCATGGGTAAGAACTCGGCCACAAATTGATTCACGTCGATGTCGCCATTCGTAAAACGTGCCGCAATGTCCTCGGATGCTTCGTCTGCTTCGTCCGCCGCTTTCGACACACGTGCCACCAACAAGTCCGGTTGAAAGTGCTGCATCCTCCATACAATTCAACTCCTTCACGTCAAATGCACACACGTACCACCAACACTTGATGCTGTTGGTTTTGCTTAGCTTGCAACGCCTCTTGTGCCACGTGAAGTTGTTGCTTCAATTCTTGGACGGCGTCTTGTAGCGGCTCCAGTTGTGCCTCGTACGCCAAATTCGACTCTACGTCCCACGTCAGCACATTATCCGAGGCACGACCAAGGCGATGCACCTGCTAAATCTTTGTTGCCCTTCACCAAGTCATCGTACAGCTTCATGAAGTTGACCACGTTGTCCATGTTCTTGATGTAGGCTTTCAGCGTAGCCCGGTCCGTCACGAGCTTTTCCAACTGGTTTACACTATCGACAGACTCAGCCACAGATTTTGCCACGAGAAATGCTTTGACACGTACGAGAGCGCTTCGAGCTCGGGAAACACCGCGGGTATGGCAGGCGACTGAGTTTGGCGCGCTGCGTCTTGCTGGGACGGCATCTTTCCCCTCGAAGACGACGCGTAAGGCGCTGGGTATTGATAACTGGCCGTCATCTGCGCCGCCGACGACGATGGGGGATACGGGGTGTACGAGGCCGACGGTGGAGGCTGTGATTGCTGCTGCTGAGGGAACGGTTGGAGGTATGATGGAGTCAACGGTGACGCCGTCGACGGGCCAGGATAGATCGGAGTTGTCGACGAAGCGGGATTTACAGATAGACTGGCGCCACCACGGCCAATGGCAGCAGGTGGGCTGCGCTGAAACTCGTTCACAATATCCACCACTAGTAGTAGCCCAGTCGAGGTCAACATGAACATGAACAACGTGCTACTACGTACCGATTCTGCCAATGTCGGCATGGGCACTCCAATTCACCAAGTCCATGTGCCCCACGACGCGGCATTGAGAGTCCAACCAACTGTGCTGCACTCGCGACGTTGTCTTCAATCACCCCACTGTGAGTGCACCGCAGGAACGCAAGATTCGCTCTCACCTGGATCATAGGACCTTGCATAGGGAATTCGTCCGGCAATGTTCTGCGTGCATGATGATAAGGAAAACGTGGTGGAGAAGGGTACAATAAACAGGACACAGTACATTCGCAAAGTGAGGGTGCGGGAATCCACAAGTCGAACGACAACGTCGAAGATCGACTGCTGATGGTTGATGGCTTGACCTCCCGCACGTACCAAGCTAGAGATTTGTCGTCCTCTCCTACGTAGTCACATGGATATATTATGCGCTTGCAGACTCTCCCTCCATGGTGATCGTACAAGCGTTGTAACTCGGACACGGCGCTCGTGTTGGCGGCGGGCGCCGGCTTGGACGTCGGCTTCCCAAACCAGGACATTTTGAACTGCAGTCGGCGGGGCTGCAGAAATTCGTATGATTGGTTAAAATAATCTAGTGAAAATTCTTCTGATTGGTGAAAACAATTTGTACAAATTCATGTCAGCCAACATTCCGTTAGTTGTGACATGCACCCGTGTGTCAAGGATTCAGCGCTTCACCACTCCACGCATTTGTCACCTCTGGCGCTGACACGAACCTTATGCGGCCATAACAATGCGAGGGCTCACTTTAATGGGAATCGCGAACCGACCTGCAACACGTTTGGAGAATTCTGGCGATGCGCCAAGGCCTCCAAGTGACGGAGTTGTTCACATGACTGATTTTAGCCAATCGTGACTAGATATGTTTTAGCCAATCGAATACGAGAATCGACCTGGTAGAGATCTTGGCAATATGATGCGGTGGACTGCCGCGGTGGTCGCCGTGCTGGCGGCATGCAGTGTATGCGTGTCAAAAGCAGCCAGCACAGTGTCCGAACGATTTCACGATGCAATTCAGATTTTGCAATCCGGCGACACCGCCACGGCCGAGAACCTGCTGCTTCGACTGAGCAAAGTGGCGCCGGATGATGTTGACGTGCACTTAGCGTTAGGCGCCATGCATCAGCTCGAGGTATTCACACTTGCTTATGCGGATATGAGTCCACTAAGCCATGACAGGGCGACGTGGAATCCGCAACAAAATACTACAACACTGTGCTCGCCCTGGACCCAGCGAACGACGCAGTTCATGCCAACCTCGCGTGTCTCTATTATTCGGCTGGCTTCCCTTCCCGAGCAATCGAGCATTTCAAAGCCAGCGTCGCCACCAATCCTTCGAAAGCACAAGGAATGGCACACATGATCGCGTTGGCACATCACAGCATCGGCGACGACGTCGCAGCCATCGCATTGTTTGATCTTGCTTTGCCGCTCCACGACAACAACGCGCATTTTCATTTCGATTTTGCAGTGTCTCTTCAAGACGAGGGGCTTGTACGTTTGGGCGTTGCAGGTATGTCGTGGCTTACACACTTACACAGGCCATGCGAGCCAATGAAGAGTACAACCGAGCCCTCGCCACAGACCCCGATTTCCCAGAGGTTGGACGCCAGATACGCACGTTTTTCACGGGGAGCTGTAGGCATGGCTAAATATTGCCACGCTGCATTTGCGCCATGGTAGCTACTCGTCAGCCCTTCGAAACTTTGAGGTACCATGGCAATTCACTGTCACGATATGTCATCGATGCTGTGATGCGCCATAGCGCGCGTTGCGATGCACCAGGATATCCCCGACCTTGTCACTGCAAATTGCCATCAATTACGGCGTGGCGTTGGAAGCTAACGGACAAGTTGTTTGGTTTGCAGAATTGCGTGAAGTTTGATTGGGGCTCCATAGGCCATGGCAGCGTTGGCGCAGTTCAAAACGGCCAGAAGTCTGGTTGAATCGATGGAACACGTCGAAGCGATAGACTTGTTTGAGCACACGACGCGAACGAGACGAGCGATTGCTTTGTGGGTCGACTACGAAGCGACATGGGACGCATTTATCGATGCGACCATTTCACGTCAGTTGAACAGGCACGTTGTCTTCGTCACATTCGCGTGAAGTGGCCATGCGGGCTTCGCACCGTATTCTTCCACTAGGTGCCTGACCTGGCTGGACATTGTAGGGGCGCAGTGAGCTCGTTGGTACCGTTTTCAAGCCTCCTGGTGGATCTGCCGCCGCCCCTCCGCAAACGCATCGCCGAAGCGTACGCCTCGACCCCGCCACGATCGCCCCCTCTTGACCTCGACCGACGGTCCAACACGTCTCGCGTGCACGTGGGGTACTTGTCGTTCGACTTCAACAACCACCCGACGGCCCATCTCATGGAAGGGCTTTTTGTTCACCACAACACGTCGGCATTTGAGGTGTCTGCCTGGAGCTACGGCAAAGGTAGTTGCTTCCGTGTACGACGTGTGGCTCAAGTCATTCACATAGACGACGGCAGTGCGTACCGGCAGTCGATTCCGTCGCTCACCGAGCACTTTGTGGACGTGGTGCTCATGGGAACCAACGACGCCGCTGCCGCCATCGAACGCGCGAGAGTCGAAATTCTTGTCGACGCGCAAGGCCATACCCTCGGTATGCTGTCCCGTCCCATGCTGTCTGTCACGGCTATCGTAGGCCAAAGGCATGCCATCGTCGCCGCTCAACCAGCCCCGATCATCGTCAATTTTCTGGTGTACCCTGGCACGTTGGGGGCGAAATATGTCGACTACTTAGTTTCTGACGTCCACGTAACACCAGCAGAGCATGCAGGTCAGTCATGGTTCGATTTGGTCCAAGAGATGTGATCATGACGATGGATGGACGAGCAGAACACTACACGGAGCGCCTCATGCTGCTGCCACAGTCGTACCAAGTCAACTACTACGCGACGTACGGTGCCGTCCACGACCCCACTCCACGGCCCCTGTTCAAGCGCTTTGCGTTTGCCAACTTTAACAAACTCGACAAGATCGAGCCGCAGGTGTTTGGCGTGTGGATGGCGGTCATGCGGCGAGTACGTCGGTACTTCATGGAATATCGTGGTATGCACATCGAATGGAGGACCGATCGTGGTGTTTTGGCGTTTAGGTGCCGTTCAGCGAGCTCTGGTTGCTGCACCCGACGTCGTCCAACACACGCAACCTCATTGTCGCCAACATTGTGCGCGAAGCGGCGCAACACGGCATCGCTGCCTCGCGCATTCGCTTCCTTCCTCGGTACTTGGCTCCCCAGACGGCATTATTGCCTACCATGTCTGACTTCTGCAACCAGTGTGTCGAAAGCCGACCACTTGCGCAGACAACGCCATGCTGACTTGTTCCTCGACACGTTCGTGGTACGGTCTGCCTTTGTGCACGTCGTGGCGTACTAAATCCCGCTGTGCAGTACGGTGCCCATTCCACCGCGACAGACGCGCTGGCCGGGTCGCTGCCGGTGCTGACATTGGCAGGATCGTCGTTCCCCAGGTTCGGACACTCCGAGATGACGGCCATGCCTTGATGAGGCATTCGCGGTGTGTGTAGTCGAGTAGGCGTGTCGCTGCTGCAAAATGCCAACATGCCATGGCTCGTGGTGCACACCGCCAAGGAATTTGAAGACCTGGCAGGTTTGTGTCGCTTCGAACCAACATCGCCCCGCGACAATGTGATTGATCCTCCATACCCCTGCAGTGAGACTGGCGACACAGCGGCATGCCCTCCGACATATCGTGGACACTCTCGACACACTTGGACCTTCGACTGGGGTGACCGAAATGCTTCCTCTCTTTCGCACGGACGAGTACACCCTCGATCTCGAGCGGATGTATCGAATGTCCGTCGAAGCTCGCCAACACCTTTCGTCGCGACATCACCTCGTCCTCCCCCGACGACATGGACCAACTAACTGATGTACTTGGTTCCAACTTTGACCAAACTGTTCAGTACGTACGTGGTCCCCTCCAAGCCCACCACACCAACGAGTTCACCGACTTGGAAACCGAGTGGCATCCATGGCATGACCTGTTTCAAACTTGCAAACAACAACCTTTGGTGTTGCAACGATATAGTGGCATGGCCGACGCACAATGTGTCGTAGGCGTGCTACTGGCGTTTACATTCTAGTGAACTTGATCGAATGATGTCGACAGCTTACATGGTCCAAACCAAGGAGGATGGTAAGAACTCCACACAAAAAGCGTTCTTCGATATACCCAACTCCGCCCTTTGCTCCTTCCCGCATTGCTGCGGCAAGGCGCACCCAGACAGACCTGCCCGCGACGACCATGAGCTTGTCGCCGCATCGAGGATTTGGGAATGCTGTGCATTGTTGAGTCGACAGAATGGAAGGGGGACACTCGACCGCCAGTGGTTGCAATCGATAGTGACCTGGCCAATAAGGACGTTCTGTCATTAAAGTTAGGTACTATTTTCAATCAATATCGAAGAAATCCCTGCTTTGGTCATTTTCAGTAGTGCCCGTAGCGTTTAGGGGAATTAGTAGTGACATCCCCGAAAACGGCCGACGCAATGATCTTTTCGACTTGCCCGATCGCACAAGATGAGCACGGCCAGCGAAGTGTTTGCGACGATGGACGCTGCTGTGCGTGAAGCAGGGGCGTCGCTAGTGGACAAAGTCAAGGGAACGATTAAGTTTGACGTGACGGGCGCGGGACAGTGGCTGATTCAAGTTAAGACAACTCCGTCTGGAGTGTCCAAGGCGACTGCGGACGATAAGGCCGATGTGACGATCACCATCTCGGAGTCCAACTTTTTGCTTCTCATTGCGGAGAAACTTAACCCACAAGCTGCATTCATGCAGGGCAAGATCAAACTTAAGGGAAACATGGGACTCGCGTCCAAGTTGGCTGCAGTGATTGCCGCGTACAAGCAAAAGGCAGCGTCGTCCGGATCGGCTCCAGCGGCCGCAGCATCTGTCCCCGCGACCCCAACTAGCAGCGCTCAACCGAAATTGCGATCGGCTTTGCTTTTCGCGTCCATTGGTGAAGCCATCAAGACGAAGGGCCCGGAACTGGTGTCTAAGGTTAAAGGCACGATTCAGTTCGTCATCACTCCTGGTAACCCACTCCATTTTCGACGGAACGCCAGCACAGACACCCACACTCGAACAATGCTAGGGGGCGCGTGGCATGTTGACCTCAAGAACGGCACAGGCTCGATCGAAGCCACTTCGAAACCTGCGGATATCACGATCACGACCGCTGACGACGACTTCATGGCGATTGCCGAAGGCAAATTGAACGCCCAACAAGTACGTTCTTCCCCCTTGGACCGATGCACGAGTGTTCACTTGGAATTGTCGTACAGGCGTTCATGAAAGGCAAACTCAAGGTGAAAGGCAACATGGGCCTTGCGATGAAGCTGCCTGTCGTGATCGAAGCGGCCAAGGCCCCGCGATCGAAGTTGTAGATGAAGAGATATCTCTGTGCCGCTGGCATGCTACGAAACCGCTGTTGAAACAAGTCGTGCATGTGGCATCCATTTGTAGACTACCTCATGGGATCTGCCGACCATGGCGTCCCTGTAGAGCACTCCAGAAAGGAACGCGAGGCGGATGATTTCAGTGAGTCTACTACTGTGGGTCAGTTCTAAATTACAGTCCTTGCTGTTTCGCTCGCCATACCGACAGGGGCCTCGAGCAGAGCCATGCCAAAGTCTACATCTAACAGGCGACATGGCCCTTACAAGCAGTCCACCACGCCCCATGCGAAGACGCAAAACATGTCGAACCACGCATTTAGGACGAGGTAACGTTGGCCTTGGACCCGCGCTTCTTGTATTGCACGGTCTCCCAGCCATCGTCGTTGGCCGTGGGGTCCTCGACGGATGGAGCAGCATCTTGAGACGCGGCCTTTGCGGCGGCCGCAGCCGCCTTTTTCTTTTCCTTTTTCGTGCTGCTGGTGTCGAGCTTGGACGACAGGTCCGTCGTGGCAGGGCTCGACTTTTTGTTACCCTTGGCCTTGCTGTCCTCTTCGCTGTCTTCCAACATGTTCGCCGCAAACTTCTTCTTCTTGGCGGCCTTCTTCTTGGCATTGCGCTTACGGTTCGCCTCGGCACGCGCGGCTTCTTCGTCGTCCGTATCGGGGAAATCACCGACAAATGCATTCAAGTCCAGTTCTTTCTCGGCTTCGGCAGCAACCGGTTGGGGCGCCGCAGGCTTGGGGTTGACGGCAGCTGCTTCCTCCTTTTCCTTCTTCTTCTTCAGCTTCTTGGGAAGCTCGGGGGCCTTCTTCTTGACGACCTTGGCATCTTCCTTCTTGGAAGCGTTGCTGCCACCTGGTGCCATGGCATAGTACGCACCAACGCCCGCGGCCACGGCCACTCCTGCAAGGATCACGGCGGGTTGGGTCAAGATGTCGGCCATGTTGTGTAGTTTGTGGTGTGTGGCGTCAATACAAAAGTGAAAAATTCAACGCCTCATGCAATACGGGTTTACAAGGGAAATCTTTTTTATCAACCATGTTCAATTTAGCTTGAAGTTTGTATGTATCATGCTTGATCAGGAATAAAAACTTCTCAGTTTTTTTACTTTAGCCCCCGCCGGATATATATATGCACACGTGTAGGGGCGATCCCCGGACACGTGGACTCTCTGTGCGCCGCTCCTCCAGCGACCGACGGCCGCGGAAGGTTGCGTGTGAAAGCAGCAGTGATGGCGGAGCCAATTAGGATAAACATCTGAGGCATCCGACAAAGGTTACACGTAGGTGTTCTTCAGTGCCATCAACGCATCATCCTAGCGATGTTGTCGGAATCCACCGTTTGGTTCCCATGCATTATGCAATCGATATCGTCGACAATACGACGTATTTGCTACTAAACGATCATTGCAACTGCCTCAGCAGCATCCCACCTTGCTTCCCACCGTTCCATTCGTGCTTGGATGTCGGCCATCTCCACCTTCATCCGCTCCGCCTCACGTTCCAGCATCTCGACCTTCGTTCTGGCTGTCGCGGCATCCTGCTTGAGCTGGTCGACTTCATGTTGGAGGATTTCCTTCTCATTTGCCGCAACGTCGAGGTCCCGTTCCAACCCTTGAATCCTCGCGACAACGTACGGCGTGATTCCGTTGTAGTTGATGGACAACGTGCCATCGCCGTCAGCATGCACCAAGTGCGGCCAGATCAATTGCACTTCCTGGGCAATGAATCCGGCTTGGACGCCCAGTTCTTTACTTCGTCGTTTCCACTCGTACTCGACCTAGACACGACAAGAATTCGTTAAACAACTACTCGCGAACGAGCTGCACACCGGTCGCAACGCGTCAAACTCGGCTCGGGTCACAGCAATGTCGTGAATGGCCTGCTTGAGCCGCGCATCCGAGTACTGATCGAGAACTTGAACGTGAGCAGTGCCAGCGCAGTAAATGTCCCCGCCAACGCCAATACCCCCCGTGACTTGCAGCGCGCCTGTGGAGGCCGTCGTAGCTGTCGCGGAATTCGACAGCACAACAGTGCCAGCAGCACTAAGACCGCCGGCGGTCAGGGTCAAGTCGCCCGTAGTAAGCACGAGGTTTCCTTGGGATAACGTCGTCAGACCATCCCCTCGAATGCTAAACACACTCGTCGACGACGACACGAGCGTGTCGAAAAGATAGAACCCAGTTCCAGCTAATGTTGCTGTAGCTGCTGTCAGCACTGGGCCTGTTCGAGACGTGCTTGAAGCTGTCACAGCAAGCCCAGTACCCGCCGGTGTCGATTGAGAGATGCTCGCGCCACCATCCGACACGACAAGTCCACCAGCCGTCACAGTTGCGCCTCCGTTGGTCACAGTGAGTCCACCCGCCGAGATGGTCGCCCCCACCGTCGACACGACCAAGCCGCCAGCAGCAATCGTGGCCCCGCCATTCACGATGGACAGCCCGCCTTGGCGAATCGTGGTCAAACCGTCGCCCTGGATGTCAAACACGGACGTCGACGTGCCACTGAGCGCCTTGAACAAGAAGAACCCTGAGCCCGCGGCCGTGGCAGACACCGCTTTCAAGACAGTGCCTGTGTAGCTCGTGCTCGATGCAGTCACGGTCGACGCGGACAAAGTCGTGGACGTCGTCGTGAGAGCCGCGCCGCCGTCGGACACGGTCAAGCCTCCCGCGGACACGGTGGC